AAGGCAGAAGGCATATCTTCAACATTATAACTTAAAGTAAAAAAGTTTAAGGCATGCAATAAAAGAATACAACAGAACCAAAAAATGTTCTCAAAAATATTAAACATAAAAGCTTGCACGAATAAAATTCATAATTTAAAATAAAATATCCCAATTGTTTTTTATATGTACATACATATTTACAAAATGAATCTTAAAGCACTCACAGTAAGTCCTAAACATATAAATGACTAATAAGAAAAATAATAAATAACTAATATGAAAAAGTATGTCGATAAATCTCTAAATAGTAGCGAAACTGTATCTCAATAATAACAAATAATTTTAAGCAAAAAATACAACCGACTTCAATGCGCATTTAGGTCGTTCTGGTTACGTAGATCCGACTGTCCTCCCTTTTTTTAAAATCGTTAAAAAAATGAATACGTATTCTACAGAAAAAAATCAAGGTACATATTTAAGGATTTTAATGTAAAAATAAATAAAGGAAAACTTGTTCGTGATATCTCGATCCAAGGTGTATTCATGATACAAAAATCTGAAGGTAAAACCGCTGAAAGGCAGCCTGAACATTTTAAAGTTTGCTAACATTACAAAAATGTTTTCGAATTTCCAATCTCACAAATACAATCTGATTTTCAGTTCAAATAAATGAAAATTTCAATATTTTCATCTATTTGTTTTTTGTTTTACCTTTGTTTGGCATTTGAGTTGCTCTCAAAATTTCAATTTCATAAAATAGACTAACTTCCAAAAATAAATGAATGCCGACGAATTGAGCAAGCGGTTTTACCTTTAAATATTTGTATCATGGGTGTATTAAACAAGAGGCCGTATGCAAATGCTTTTTCTTAAAATTTCAGACCTTTCACTAAATTTGTTGAAAAGTATATATTATTATTTATTTATTATTTATTTATTTATTTACAGGCTAACCTAATATTCACGCACGCCGCCAATTTATTGTCAAAAATTTCTCATGCACATGCAACTTGTATGAGATCAACCGAAATTGAAGGGCGTGCGCATGATACAATAATTTTTAGAAGGTAGTTTCACTTCTTCTTCTTATCCGCCATGTTAGCTATCTGACAGAAAACGTGTTTCGTATTTTTTGTTGTACCAACTTTTTCAAAAAAAAAAATCCAGCTTTTGACGTTGGAAAAATAAAAGAAAGAAAAGCCAAACATGTAAGTAGAGAAATTTTCGAATATTTTGTAATAATTTTCTTCATAAAAAATTAACGGAATAGATGTAAGGACACAGCTATAAGAGCCACCGCACACCACAGACTTTATCGGCGCCTATTTAAATGATAGGGCTCGCTTGAAATATGTACATGAAGATGTATGGAGGTGCGCACATTACACCAGCTTAATCGCTCTGACCAATAGGTTGTGGTGCAATGGAAACTAGCGAGCACATCTAAATTGGCGGCCGATAAAGTCCGTGGTGTGCGATGAATCTAATCCATTATAAACAAGAAGTATTGCTGTCATATTTTCATTTTTATGATTTTTATTCATGTGATTAGCAGTGGCAAAAATGTATGTATAAAATAAGTATATTTATATTAAAAATTAAGTGATCAGTTATGAAACATATAAATCTTTACATGTTCTGTTAAAAAATATCTAAAATAACAAGCGGTAATCCCCAAGTTCTATATCGTAGCAGTGGCCACATTGCTCGTTTGTCACAGACACGGTTTATGTCAAAAATTTTGAAGTGAAACTACCTTCTAAAAATTATTGTATCATGGGCGTGCGTATGAAGCTAACTCAATTTCCAATTTTTGTTCTGCGTGACATTTTGATTTGACGTTTCGCTCAATGAAATCAAATGCAAACGCATGCAAGTCAATTTCGGGTGACGCAAAAAAACAAATTCGACGGCATGCGTACCAAAACGCAAGCCGCGAATATTAGGTTAGCCTGTTATTTCTTATTTAAGTGAAAGGTATGAAAATCTGAGAAGAAGAATTGCTTAGTTTTTATGCATACGGCCCAAGGTGTTATTGACAACTCAGTGCGGCTCTCTTTTAAGATACTATTATGTAGAAAAATATAAACAAACGATTCAAAATTCATTCAAATTTTTTTCAATTTGACTTTATAGGATGGTTCTTCTGAGAGCATGGTCAAATTCAATCACGCTTTGTTAAATACATTTTGATCTCTACCAAATAATATACTTCCTCTGTAAATATTTTATGAAGTGTTCCAAAATTCGCTCCGAGCGCGTTCAGTTTTGATCATTTGATTTAAATAGTTTGTCATACAATTAATACTATAGTTTGATCGGAGTTAATATATTCTTCAGTAATTAATTATATTATATTAAAACATAACGTCGTTTAAAGTACAAAACCGCGTATCGTCATTCTGCAAAACCGCGTAACTAACATTGGCTGCCAAAAATTGGATTTGCTGACACAA